TCTGTTTGTTATTCGACTGTTTGCACTAGCTATGTGATATGCAACTGCAATCGCTCATGTCCTAGACTGGGCAAATTTCTACTGTCCATTTAACTGATTATGTTTGAAATTACTGTCTGTTCCTTACCGTTATTGTAATTTCTTAATCAATTGTTTGGTATTTGATTAATTGAAAATGATTATTTAAACTGATTCAAGTAAATGTTTTTTTTTATTTTAGTTATTTACTTTAGTGTGTTTTCCTTATGCCAACACAGATAATTGAGAACACAAAGATTTTTTTTTTAAACTTTATTTCTTTTTTTTTTAGTCTTTTCTTGTTTTTGTGGCTTAACACCAAGAATGTATATGGTTTGAAAATGCCTGACAGCCATTGAGATTTAATTTAAATGTATTTTTGTTTTGGTTTCAATTATGTTATTAAGGGTCAGACAAATGTTCGTACATAGGGATTTAAACTATCCATGATATTTTTATTTATTTTTACTGGCAGAAATAATAGTAGGGTACAGACTGGACTGTTCTGCAGGTTTTTAATTGACTTAACTGGAGTAATTTTCTTGTTGAAAATAAAGACTTGTGCTAAGGGACAGAGTCCTCTGCTTTGCTTGTCAGTCATTGATGTGTTACATGACTTGCAGTTGTAGTGTCTTCATAACTGGGTCAACAGCCCATTTTGATTGGCCTAGCTCAGAAAAACATGGGTGGTTGTGGCTTTAATGTTTTATTGAATTGCTCCTGAGGGAATAGAAATCTAAATGTTCGAAAGCTAATCTAATGAGGTCAGAGGTCAGGCAGTAATCTGTGCCTCTTCTGTCCTGTTTGTTAACTTTAGTCTTGCTCAGTGACCTGAGAAATGGTGGATCAGCAACTGATGTTTGGTTGAGATAGTTGAACACATTAGTATTCACCCGTGTGTCATTTAAACCACTTATTGCCACAGTAAGACTAATTAATGACTCTCGCCTTCCCTCTCAAAGAGACTCGTACATCAAACTGTGGATATTGATGATTCCTATGAGTTTTACAGCTTCATCAATCATAGAGATGAAATTCCCAGACTGATTTCATGAAATGGCGTGTGTATGACATGCCAATTCGTATTTCCATTTTTGGCGTGCTATCAACACGCATAATCGCTTTTCAGCATGTTTATCAACGCCGTTGCGTTGACTTAACGTTACATTACTGTATATAAATATGACCTACCCCAACCCCGTCACTAAACCTACCCGTCACTGGGGTTAATACCATTTATGAGTCTTCCCCTACCATCCTAGGAAAAAATATCACTCCCCAGATGTAGATCTACATTTTGCTTCGTTTCGCTCGTACATTTAACGGCGTGTACATACACGCGGAATCACTCGGACATTTAACGGCGTAGACCTACACGCAAAAGATGACGGCTCGTTTCGGCGTGGACATACACGCGGATAGCTCAAAATGCGTATAGATAACACGCCACTTGACTTGAAAGTGGCGTGTATGTTTACGCAAAGTCATGATGTCATGTTGAAATTACATAGTTTTGCTTTAATAATAAGCTTGCAGGTTCTTTAACGCTGTACACCAACATTGCTTTACAATGCAAGAGACTGTACAGTATACTGTGTACCAATTTGAATTCTATATACTGATTTGCATACTATATACTAAGTAGTATGCAAGATGAGAATTAAAGTCAATGCATAAAAAAGTAAGATAAAGGTATCATGATTATAAAGTTTTTTCTGTGTGGCTTTTCAAAAAAATGTAGGCTAGATAAATTGATTGATTGTATTTTAAACTAGTGACTATAGTTTGTGACTATTCCTTTAAACATTTATTTATATTTAAAAGTGAGTTTTCATTAAACTCACTATTTTTTCATTAAACTTTTATTTTTAAATGCATAAACTTTATGGTAAAATATCAGAATTTTAAGGTACTAAAATACCTATTATGCAAATGCTTGCATGCAAACTTAAGATGAAATATGACATAATGCAATGAAGAAAACAAAGAAAAAACTATGTAAATATCACTTGTGAATCAGGACCATACCCACCATTGAGGTATTTTTCCAAGGACTAAATAGTAAAGGTTGTGAAATAATTGCCTAAGATTAACTCTACTTCGGTGCATCAAGGATATTGAACAATGCCGATAACCAACCTTCTCATCTGAGCTGCCTCAGCGATTAGATAGTGCTCATCAATGTTAATGTTTGATGACCAATCAAATTAAAGTAGGCGGGCTTTATGTTCACAGAAGCTGCTGAGTGCAAATTTCAACACTGCGCTTCTGTTCATATAAGTGCGAGATAAGATAAAAGTATATTTGACAGCTGTTCTATGATAGAAATGTTAAACGACTGACAGAAATAATCGGGGATGTAAACTAATATACTTTTGTCTAATTTCGCCATTTTTAATTAAAAATAGGCTATATAATTTACATGATGCATGTAAAAAAAAAAATCTTGCTGCCGTTGTTTAGGTCTAACAACTGTTTCTTCTACTTCAGGCTCTCTCTCTCTGTTATTTAGTTGATCATCTGTTTTACACAGCCGCCTGCTTTATAGGGGCTTCAAACACTTGGCCCAGAGCATGGCAGTGAGTAACGCAGTCTTGTATACTATCAAATAACTATTTACTCTCAAGAAGCTCAAACACGGAGCATACTGACCTGGTTAATGTAGTATAAGATGTTATTTCTTTTGTGCATTGAGTTTTTAATCAAATTTAAATCACACAACAGCAATCACATAATTAATGCCAAAAAGTGGACTTGGCTGATGCTATGGATCTTTCTCTAATGCTGTTTCTTTTGATATCAGAGCCAGAGTGTTAAATGATGGCATGTTCTCCCTTATATACATGTCTTTTTTTTTTCTTTTTTTTTGGTCTAAATATAGAATTGTGGGTTAACAAGTCTTCTGTATAAAGCACATGTGTCTGGGGGGATTCTTCAGAAGGCTGAGTATGTCAGTTATTGCTTTATCACAAATCCGTCTGGCTCATCCTGTGAATCTCAGACGTTGTTGAAGGACTGCTACGTATGTTTCTATGACTCATATTCATGTTGTTATGAATTTAATTATGTATTTTGTACCTTGAGTTGCATTGTATGTGATTAGGTTGCAGATGACTGGCTGAGCTTGCATTAGCATTTGAATATAAATGCCAAAACGCAATGCATAGCATAAATGAAGAACTAAAAGGTATATAAACGTAACCTTTTCTGCTAAAAGTGGAGTACCTCCTTTGTTTTGGTTAATTTAACTTAATCTGTCTTTTTACATCTGCAGTTTTGAAATCTGTCTTTTTACATCTGCAGTTTTGAATTCAGCAAGTCACAGTTCATTCAGTTGGAAAACATTTCAGTTTTATCTTATTTTTATAGTTGGTTTGAGGTAATTTGTAGTAAATCATCATAGAATATGCATTGATCTTGTTTCATCATAGAATATGCATTGATCTAGTTTCACGCTGATCAATTCCACCTTCCAAATAATTCTATTATGATATTATATTGAAATTTAGGTCATGACATTACATTATTTTTATATTGGTCTAAATCCATAAAGTGCACCAGGTAGCACAATGAAAATTTGGTTGTATTATTATTCAACACAGGTCAAAATAAATTAGGAGGAATAATTTACCTAACCTCCTATGGGAAAACTAGACGCATCTGAATAGCGTTAAGACTGTTTTGCTCACTCTGGTGCTTCATTAAGAAGCTCCTCACCTTTGCCTTCTATCCTTGGTCTCAGAATGGGTCATTTCATTACTGTGCAGCTGCTTCTGAATATCAAGCCAAACACTGCCAGCTTTTATGCCCAACCTCTGCACCCACCATAAAAAGCAATGCACATGGAAAGTTTATAAAACGTGTAGTGGAATATAAACCATAGAGGCCGATACTGCTTTCAGGAATCCTTCTTGAAAGTGGCACGCTTAATTATTTAAATACTCTCCTGTTTCATGGCCTTGGCACATTCCAAACCACCCGCACATGTGCGAGATTGTGACTTTGGTAATCACGACAATGTGACTTATGCAGGAGAAAAAGCCTTGAAGCATCTGGGCACAATAGCATGATGAAAGTCCTCAACTCTCAGACTTTTTGATGTAACTCATTCACTGCATTTGTGTTTTACTCTGATTAATGTCTATTACGTTAAACAAGCCACATCAATAAATAGCACTCAAGTCAATGAATCCGTTTTCATAAAAAACATTGTTAGTGGGGTAAGTTTTATTATTCTTTAATACGTTGTAGATCAGTGTTGCATTTTATCAGTTGTCGGTGTTCAAAATCGATATTGTTAAAATGTTAAAAATCTAAATCAATTACTTGACCTTATTGGTTCAAAGGTTGACTAATTAACTTAATATCAGATATTGAATAGAGATGTGTTTTTAAGGCATAGAGTAAGTTGTAGTTTTACAGCGATGTGCAACTGGTTTTATACAAATTTATTTCCCCGACAGTTTTTATAAACTACACCTTTTATATATAGAAGGTGTAGTTTAGGAAACTTTCACAAATATACAAATAAATTCAGATTAATTTGCATGTAAAACAGACCTTCCTGGAAACTCTTCGCTTCGTAAACCTCAGATTTGATAGTTAAACGCATGCATTTTAATGAATTCCAATCATTCGTAAATTACACAATTTGTTCTGCTCAAATCATCAATAAGGGTTCTATCATTGTCAATAATAATGTAAAGCACTTCTTATCTATCATATTAACATCACAGGCTAAATCTTATAGTGTGTAAGTGTAACCTTATTTAGGGCCAAATCTATTTTTGAACCGTTTCGTTCACAAAGCCTATTACTTTTGCTTACGACTATTACAGAGACGTATGTTAAATTGCATTGATAAGGCATATATCAGCATTGATTTGTGCAATTAACTGTTTTTCATATAGTTTTGTTGCTCTTTCTATAGTTTGCATCAGATAATTTATTTGTTGGATTTTTATTGTCTTTGTCTCTCTTAGTCTGGCCTTTGGAGGCTCCAAACATGCCAAATGAATCTTCGATGGAAGTGCTGCATAATGCATCATCCATCCCCTTGTCTGGATTTTCTCTTTCACCTAGTTCGGATCCATCCACAGCCACCGAGAATTACAATCACAATTTCAACACTGAATCAGTATTCACTTACTCCTTGAACTCTGCCACAATCCCAGAGCCTCTTGCCACACCTCTTTTACTTTCCTTAAACTCTGGAGAGGCAGTTGGATCTACCCACAGAGGTTCCTCCAGACAGCCTCGACAACTAAATTCTCCAGTGCCTACATCCCATAATGTGCCCTTATCTTGGTCTGCTATCAGCCCAGCTCCCCAAATCTCACAGGGTACAGATTCATCTGTGCCTTCTAGCTTGCCTTTAGTTGGACAAAATTCTCCTTCGAGAATTCCTGATGAAAATCCCATTCCTTCCCCTCGAACACAGAATGGGACGGTGGGAGCCAGTGACACTAATGTACCTTTTGGACACCAATTGGAACCATCCAGCAGAATCAAAGACCTTCAGTTACAAGCCAGCCATGACCCAAACACCGAACCAGGCAATCAGCAGTTGGAGCCAAGTCATGTGGTTTTCATACATACAATAACTTCAGTGTCTGTCGAGCAAACTATGGGTCCACCTGAAGACTTTTTCCCAACCTACACTATGGATGTGGACTATGGTTCTGGAGATTACCTAGAAACAATGTCCTTCATGGGATCTGAAGGTAACGACTATTCGCTGGTTACCAATCTCCCATCTGATGTGTATGACTTTGAGGACTCAAACTCCGAGATCTATGACACTACGTTTCCCACAAGAGTGGGGATTTCATTTTCCAGCAAACACTTGTATCCCTCCTCTACCAGTGTTTCTAGTTCTTTCTCCAGCAAACTTGTTGAAAGTTCCAGTTTTAATAGCAATTCAACCTCAGATGGAGCCAACACTGACTTAACCAAACAAATAACAAACTTTCAGAGTTTTACAAATGTTGTGCCCTTTACCATGTCAAGGCCTCCAGTTTTTACCAGTGTTTTGACATCGGCCCTTGACCACACCATTTCTCTATCACTTTTAACCATCCAACCAACCAGAGTCCATTCTCTACCAATTGTCCCAACAACTTCAGATGTCTTAAACCAGAACCAGTCTGTCAACGAGAGCTCAGAGTTGGCATCTGACTGGGCAGGCACTGTTGCCGTCCAACCCACTGATGTCCTTTTACCAGACATGAACAGTTTAGAATACTACACCATCCAGTTGACCAAGGACAATGGTAGCTTGCCAGAGCACACTGTCAATCAGACGGTCTCTAGTGTTTTCTCTTTCATGCCGGTTGGCACCACAAATATTGTGAGCACTAGAACCTACACCATTGACCCAAGTTACATGCTAACAGCTTTGTTTGATGAAGATCTACAGCCTGCAGGTAACGGTTCCTGGACTGAGGAATCATCAACAGACATCTCTGGATTTGAGCCTTTTAACACTACTAACCTGGATACCTCTGAAGTTACACCTAGTCTAACGGATACTACAGTGCCATATTTGGAGCCGTCATTTACACTGACACCCTCAATAGACCCTTCAGCTCCCTTTGGAGATATAAACTCAACCACTGATTGGGCTACCACACCTTTTATAGCATACAACACTTCCTTACTGGTGACTGACCCATCTCCGGTGACCAAAGAACCGGATGGCATGTCTTCTGTTAATGACAGCCAATGGATTATCACCTCACTCCCAACAGAGACCCTCTTTACTAGTAGTGTACTTCCCACTGTTTTAGTAACCACCTCTATCAGTGTTTATGAATTACCAACTGACTCAACCTTAAACGTCACCTCCTCCCCTCCTGCAACCGAGATGGCTGACGAAGGATTTGTGTCTGGAACACCATCTGACACCATGGCTACTGATGGCGATAACACCACACCGATCAGTAGTCTTACAACCACGTCCTCTCCAGTATTACATAATGACACCACTGTCACGTCTTTTACTATCACAAGCTCCAGCAACACAACAGGGACTACTGTGAAAGACACATCAGGTACAAACCTAACCACAACCCATCCAACAACTATTGCCCGGAATTATCTCTGCAACATCACTAAACCGGACACCTACTTGATCAGAGTTGGTAAGACAGTGAAAATGAATTTGCTATACACGGTATATATATATATATATATATATATATACACTCACCGGCCACTTTATTAGGTACCCCATGCTAGTAACAGCTTGGACCCCCTTTTGCCTTCAGAACTGCCTCAATTCTTCGTGGCATAGATTCAACAAGGTGCTGGAAGCATTCCTCAGGGAGTTTGGTCCATATTGACATGATGGCATCACACAGTTGCCGCAGATTTGTCGGCTGCACATCCATGATGCGAATCTCCCGTTCCACCACATCCCAAAGATGCTCTATTGGGTTGAGATCTGGTGACTGTGGAGGCCATTTTAGTACAGTAAACTCATTGTCATGTTCAAGAAACCAATTTGAAATGATTAGAGCTTTGTGACATGGTGGAAGTAGCCATCAGAGGATGGGTACATGGTGGCCATAAAGGGATGGACATGGTCAGAAACAATGCTCAGGTAGGCCGTGGCATTTAAACGATGCCCAATTGGCACTAAGGGGCCTAAAGTGTGCCAGGAAAACATCCCCCACACCATTACACCACCACCACCAGCCTGCACAGTGGTAACAAGGCATGATGGTTCCATGTTCTCATTCTGTTTACGCCAAATTCTGACTCTAACATCTGAATGTCTCAACAGAAATCGAGACTCATCAGACCAGGCAACATTTTTCCAGTCTTCAACTGTTCAATTTTGGTGAGCTCTTGCAAATTGTAGCCTCTTTTTCCTATTTGTAGTGGAGATGAGTGGTACCCGGTGGAGTCTTCTGCTGTTGTAGCCTATCCGCCTCAAGGTTGTGCGTGTTGTGGCTTCACAAATGCTTTGCTGCATACCTCGGTTGTAACGAGTGGTTATTTCAGTCACTGTTGCCCTTCTATCAGCTCGAACCAGTCTGGCCATTCTCCTCTGACCTCTGGCATCAACAAGGCATTTCCGGCCACAGAACTGCCGCTCACTGGATGTTTTTTCTTTTTCGGACCATTCTCTGTAAACCCTAGAGATGGTTGTGCGTGAAAATCCCAGTAGATTAGCAGTTTCTGAAATACTCAGACCAGCCCTTCTGGCACCAACAATCATGCCACGTTCAAAGTCACTCAAATCACCTTTCTTCCCCATACTGATGCTCGGTTTGAACTGCAGGAGATTGTCTTGACCATGTCTACATGCCTAAATGCACGTAGTTGCCGCCATGTGATTGGCTGCTTAGAAATTAAGTGTTAACGAGCAGTTGGACAGGTGTACCTAATAAAGTGGCCGGTGAGTGTATATATATATATATATATATATACACATATACATATATACACCAGCAAGGTGCTCCTGTCATTTTTTTAAGGATCAATGTGTGACTCAGTCCATAAAACAGATGTGCCTTAAACAATAACTAGATTTAGATGCAACATTACTTTTATCTTATTTTATTTTATTTTAATTTTATTTTTATATTCAAGGATCCAAGAATAGCATCAAGCTAGATATTTGCTCTGTTGTAGGGTTTCCTCCGGGGTCTACTGTTGGATATGCTAAAGCCAAAGTCCGAGAGATTCTCAAAGCCGAGTACAGCCGCTCAGTGGAGCTACAGGTACTGTAGACATGCGATTTAATAGGTCTATGTTATTTTTTCCTCCTCTTTTTTTGCTTGTCTTTATTGATTTCAAGCAGTGACAGCAACTCTTCTATATCTAAAACTATTATTTTATAGAATATTAAACAATACAATTACAAATACCTTGATTGTAGAGAAAATTTATGCTTTTAAAAATTCATTTATTTTTTAATGTAATGCTAAAAGCTTTTTAAAGTAACAACAGGTAACTTTTGCTCTCGGGGTCCCCCTACAGTTGGGAAACAGTATTGTCCTCTACTACTGTCGTAAACTCTGTCATCCTACATGCACGTGCAATTGTTGACAACCATGATAGCCCTGAACACTGTAGGAGGAGGTCACATGCAGGTGTTCTGCTTGCGTCGCGTGTGAAATGTCTTCATCCCAGGTACAGTGGCATATATTTCAGCATGTCATATGAATATAATTTCATGGGTTTTATTTTTTTTCTAACGACAAATGATCGCGATGCTCACGTTTACAAGCCAGCGTCATTATAGTAGCCTAGTCCAGTGGTTTTCAAACCTGTCCTGGAGGACCCCCAACACTGCACCTTTTCTTTGTCTCCCTAATCAAACACACCTGATTCAACTCATCAGCTCATTTTCACATGGGTTAATGAGCTGATGAGTTGAATCAGTTGTGTTTGATTCGGGAGACAAAGAAAACGTGCAGTGTTGGGGGTCCTCCAGGACAGGTTTGAAAACCACTGGCCTAGTCTATTGGTTACCGTTTTACTGAATCTATATGATACTTCAATGCAATGTTTGAGTGGTTGATAATAACCATATATCGTCAATATTATAATATCAAGCTACCATAAATGAATCTGCAAATTTTACAAATCGATTTGCATTATAGCTTGAGGCAAGACAAATAAACAAATATCACAGACATGTTAGGTATCCTAAAATATGATTTTATTAATAATCTTCCTCCTTTCTTTGTACATGTTGAGTAGACTACACTTTTTAGGTCAAACATTTGCTCTTTGCATTTCATCGATTGCAAAGTTCAAATCAGAACGAGAATACTAGCGATAGCTAACCATCAAAAACTAGAATATCGTTTACTAGCTACCAGATTGATAATTCGCTACTACTCTAGCGAATTAGAGAGGTTAGAGAGAGGCATTCTTTTTTCGATGGGGGGTTCGATGCTCCCTGCACACGCAAGGTCTCTCGCTCGCTTTCTCTCTCTGCCGTCCGCGCGCGTTGGAGCACAGTCTCTGTCTCGCGTGCGCGCTCGCTCTAGATTCCGGGAGATTTGAACTAATTTGTGGTATAACTTGTCGATCACGAGTGGCTCAACTGGTAGATCTATAGATAAACTCATCTTTCAGGCATTTGACCGACCGGGTTGACAATTTAGTGTGAGAAACCGGGGGTGTGGCGTGTGAGCGTGTGAAACCAATCAAATGCGGGTGTCTCACGGCCAATGCGTGAGAGTTGGCAGCTCTGCAATGTTGATCCTCGTTCTGCCTTTAACGCGATCACTTTCTCTTTTTCTCTTTTTGCTTTGCTCCGATAAAACCTTTGCTTTCTTGTTTTTCTGTGCTGCTTCGGCCATGACTATAACATTTGGCTCGCAAGTCCGATTTTAAGGAAGTGGGGGTGGTGGTGGAAGTGACGTATATGCCGTAAAGCAGTCGAATTTTGTAGTTCTCTTTGTTCGCCGGTTACTACCCGAAACCCGAAGTTTAAAAGTACGATTAAAAACGCTACAGACCCCGTCAGACTATGGCAGACGTGTCATTCAACCTATTGTAATTCGATGTACCATCACAAGAGACTTGGAAATATATTATGAAGGTTGAAAAGTTACCTGTTGTTACTTTAATGGGGAAAAATTGTGAAAACGGCATCTGAAAATATAGTTTAAATATTTAACCTAAAATCATTCTGGTGTTCTTTATTAAAAGAACATTAGCTGGGTTTCCACGCCTATATTTTTGGATATTGCCTAAAAATACAGAATGGATGAAAAATGTTACCAGAAAATGAGAAAACAAAAAGTACCTCTTTTTTTCTTTTTCTTAAATGTATCATAATAGGGATTGTTTAAATCACAGAAACTTTAAATATGTTTTGTAATCCAGTGATGTGTCAGTGAAACAGATAAAATCTTCCCTTCCTGTTTTATCTCTTGGGTCTTCATAAACAAACAACACCTAATTTGGCTCAATGGGAATGAAATGGTTCTTTGCAACTCCCTGCATTTAAACACAAACCATCCTGGACTTTTACAGGCTCACTGAAAGTCTTTTTGATATTTCTCCATGTTCTTGAAAAGGATGTGAAATTGCTATTACAAATATGATGTACAAATCCTTGAGATTTAATGTTCAAAATAATTTCTTCATGTGTTAAAGGTTGTGAAAGCTCCTCCAGATTTTGTGTTTCGTGCTGTGTCTGGTGCAGTGGTTTACACTGCCATATCGGTCATTAATGCCCTGAGAATCTCTGCTCGGACCACTAGCTCCTTTATCAGCGTGTCACCGATCAGTCCTGTTCCAGGCCTGCAGTACCATGTACATACAGGTACACTGCATGTCACAATTAATGAATTCTCTCAAGATGTCATGAATTTCACCAAACATTTCAACTCTATGCTTGTGTTTTGCAGTACTTCAGTTTGTACCCAGCCACATAGATGTGCGTATGTGTACCTTCAGTGAGCAGACAGAGAAGGGTCTGATCACAGCCTTAGCTGAAGTACGCCGACGCTCACAGGAGTCCACAAACTTTACTGTGAATGTAAGTTGACTGCTTTACCCAGTTAACAGTATTAAGAGCTCAACTTTCAAACACCAATATCCTGACACTGAACCCCTTCAAATCCTCTTAATTGCTTCTTATTCCATTCCGATTTGCTTAAATGACTACTTTATACAGAAGTTTTATATGATGCTAATGTAAACGAGCCAAATTTTTTATTCTGGAACATTTTTGATGTTGGCAAAAAGAAGCTTGCTTTTAAATTGTGTAATGTGAATTTGAGGCTTGATTGCCTTCAGTGCAGTGGGATGACATCATATCCAGCTGTTTGCTCTGATTGGATAAGTTCAAACGTTGTCAAGGCAACAAATCTAATGGCTCCTCTCTTATTCATTTCATTCACTAATGTTCAGGAACCTTTTAAATAGATACGTGAGTGTGATTGAAGACAAGAGACTTTTTATATTAAGATATTTATTATCTACTATTTTAGTAACTACATTATTTAATTGTTTTATATATTCATTTAAGTTATTTATTTTTTATAAATTCTTTTTTTTTTTTTTTAGTAGCTCACATTTTACATTAGATTCTTGATTGATGAAAATCTAGATATTTTTGGCTTTTAAAATAGCAGAGAAATATGTCTATTGGATGTTGTTTTTCCACAGTAATTTCTAAAATCCCTTTCTGGGGAATGAGTCATTCTACTGTCTAATTGCTTTAGTTTCAGATAATTGTATCTTAGAGACTGAATTGTTTTGTAGATTTTAAACATCACACTGAGTCCTGTGGGCATGGCGGCACAACTGCAGAAGGTTCCAGTTGAGATCACCTTTGCTGTGCGTGATATGCGCGGGTATGTGCCAGGGACAGAGGTGAGCGCTCTGCTTCGACAACTTAGCATGGTCGAGTACAGCTACTATCTGGGCTTCCCTGTGCGCCAGATTGCAGAACGTGAGTCCACACACTCATTACTGTTCGATTACATAAATACACTCCCAAAACAACTTATATATATATAGTATAAATGTCATGAACACAGCTTAAAAGCTGGCCCACACTAAAATGTTTAAATCGTGAGAGACCTCAAACATGAAAAAATCATAATTTAACAGTTTTGTTCCTGTAGTGTGAGGAGTGTCACGATTTGACCAAGACAGCACACCACACACTAACAGATTCCATTCACAAACAACCAGAGTCCCGACTGTGAACACGGGAAATCTCTCGGGGTCAACGTGACTCTAGAGTAAACCAACATGGCGGACAACGGGCGAGAAGAAATGGCGATAATAGTGTTTGGACTGCTTTTTACAGAAAATTCGCTGAAAAAAAGAAAGAAAAGGGTCTGGATGTAGTCGTGTTATGCTTCCATCAACTTGCTTTCTGATTGAATATCGTACCGTTTCACATGACAATCTACAGATGCACGTTTGTCCTCGGGGTTCCCCCCACACAACAGGATTTCTGATTGTAAATATTCGACATGTTGGATATTTACGATTTGAGATCGGTGCGGGACCGATCGTTCTTTCGAGCAGGTTACATCACTCTTAAGAGACCCCTGATATGATTGTAAAGTGCTTTGGGTGTACAGTAGTACATATGAAAGCGCTATATAAATGCCTCATTCATTAACGCATCTCACACCACAGGAAAATCTGATAATATGATCTGTAGAACCATCAAGATAATCGGGACTTTACCTAGGGTTCTCTGAAATTTTTTATGTGTTTTTTTCTTCTCTTCACCATTAGCATTCCATTACCCAGAGCTAAACACAACCCAACTTCTGCGTTCTTCATGGGTTAGAACAGGTACTGGCCTGCTGATGTTAATCTTAACAAAATACACTACCGTTCAAAAGGGGGTCAGTGTTATATATATATATATATATTTCAAATAAATGTACTTTGGAACTTTCCATTCATCATAAAATCCGTTTCCACAAAAATATTGAGCAGCACAAGTTTTTTTCAACATTGATAATAATAAGAGCACCAAATCTGCATATTAGGATGATTTCTGAAGGATCTGATGCCGGAGTAATTCTGCTAAAAATTCTGCTTTACAACTACATTTTAAAACGTATTAAAATAGAAAACAGATTTTCAAACAAATTGAAATAATATATTGCATTATTACTGTTTTTACTGTATTTTTTATCAAATAAATGCAGCTTTGGTGTGCATTTGAGTCTTTTTCAAAAACAAACCAACTTTTGAACGATTGTGTAATGTTGTTACTATACAATCAAATAACCAGTCTATTTTTGAGACCAAAATGAGCAATTGCAATGCCATAATGTCATGTATTACATATTGTTTGTGTGTGTGTTCAGTGTTGTTGGGAGTATTGGACCAGCGTGTGAGTGACAAGATCTTCCATGCTACTATTGAGAGGAGACTGGCTCTGTTGCTGGGCGATGCATTAGGTACAGGGCGTCGCTTTAAGAGAGCAACTAGTGTGGGGAACAACAGTGTGCAGGTTTGTAAATCATCTGTTATGTGGCCTTATTCTATTCATGCTTTCCATGCATGAGCTCATTGGATTCATTTAGAGCTCTTCCTGTGTGCATGCCTAATGCCTCTCTGGATTCTTAATCAATCTCTGTCTTTGTGGAACATCCCCACACCTGCTCTCCCTCCACACATCATCATTCAGGGACAAGTATCCATGGCAACACCCTCCTATTCATCCTTGGCCTGCAGAGCCACTCAAAAAAACAACCATTTCACCCCTGTCGGCTGTCGGCGCGTCTTACTCCAGCTGCAGTCTCAGATAAATTATTGAACACAGCTTGCAGACAGCTAGTGTGATTCTTAAAGCATTAATTGCTTATTCTGCCTATATAGAGAAGATTTTTCTGTTTCATAGAGACCTGATTGCAGACTAGCTGACCTTATGGTTTCCAAATGACTTGTGTTGATAATGACAGTCCGTTAATGGCCGCTAATTAGCTGAAAAGTAATGGAGCTGTGTTAATGATGCTCAGTGATGTCATTTCTAATTTTAGAGAGGTTATGAATTCTGGAATATCTTGCAAGCACTCTTGCTTGAATGTAGGTTGATGATAATCTGCAAAGCTTGGATGTACTTGGATGATCTTATGACATTGTGTGGCCATCCTCTGTGCTGTTTCTGATAATGCACCCTGAGGTAGCAACACATTTAAAATGAGCTTTTAACGTCCCGGGCCAGTGAGAGTTCACTACTCAGGGCTCGTAATGTAGGTCGAGCTCAGGTGAAGCTCTCACTTTGCCACTCTCTGTTTCCACCCCAATAACCATGGAGACTAGAAACAAATTAGACTAATCTTTTAGACCCTCAGTCTCTCTGAAAGCCTTTTTGGGTTTTTGTCTAAAAGACATTTAAGTTTTAATAAGCTAATTGTAGCCTATTCAGAGTTCTGATTCCTATGTTTGCGTGTGAGGAACAGCTAGCATTTGCATATATATATATATATATATATATATATATATATATATATATATTATATAGTTAAAGTTCTGAGTTAAAGGAAAAATGTACCCAAAAATATAAATTCTGTCATCATTTACACACCCTTTTTGTTGCTTCAAAGCCAACACGTGGATATATATATATGTGAATAAAAGCCTAAATTCAATATGTTCATATAAAGCGATTGTGTCTCTTCAGATAATTTGGACAAAACCGCTCAATACATATGGATCAGTTTTACGTATCTCTTTATGAACTTTTTGAAATGTCAAAGTGGTAGTTGCGTAGACTGTCAATGGAGGGACCGAAACTCTCTTAAAAAGATCTTAATTTGTGTTTTGAAGATGAACGAAAGTCTTGCAGGTTTGTAACAATATGAGGGTGAGTAATTAATGACAGAATTTTAATTTTTGGGTGAACTAACCCTTTAAGCTTCAAAATTGCACCATAAAAGTATCATAAAGTTGGTCCATTCTAGTGTTATTTATTTATTCAGTATGAGACATTTTAGAACTTCAACTTAAATGATTCTATTCACAAAATGAGACTGAATGATTCTTTCACAAATTGGACTGATCCAAAATACACAATATAAAATAGTGGAAACGATGTTCTCCATAAACTCCTACACAAAGAGTTTTGCAATACGTTGTTGTTGTTGTCAACATTTTGGATTGAATAGTTTCAGATGCTGAATGACATGTATAAAGACATGGATATACAATGTATAAAGACATTACAGTGAATTAAATTGCATATTGAACTTTGTGTAAAGTTTTTTTTTTTTTCCAACTGTGTTCAGATTGTACAGACCACTCGTCTTGTGGGCCCTGACAACCCTCTGGAGATTATCTACTTTGTGGAAGGAGCTAACGGACAGAGGCTTCCCGCCGCAACCACAGCGAACACGCTCAACAGTCTTGACGTACAGCATGCAGCGATCATCATGGGCTACCGCATCCAGGGAATATTAGCACAGCGTGAGCATTCAGACTTTTAATACTTTCAGTAGAAAAAATCAGTGGGAGAGAAACTACATAATATAGCATTGCAATAAACTAAAAGATAATAATGGTAAAAAAAAACAATGATGAAGTGGTCATTTAAATGATGTTGATTGATGTTACATAGCAGGCAATGGTTTTTGTGGTAACATTCTTTATTTCTTCTGCTCTAAACGTCAAAGAGGAGAGTTCAGATAGCGTGACATCTCAAGAGAGCTCTGCCTTTTTATGTAACATTTATATGTGGCAGGCTTACAACTGCATCACCCACAGCATAAACACTAGATTCATTAGACTAAATTTAGTAGCTTCCTGTTGTATAACATCTTGGGTTTTAGCATAAATCTTAATAGGTCTCCAATTACAGTGAATTCAAAAACAGGACCGACCTGAATTATGGATGTTTGCCGTTTAATGGATTCAACATCATAACATTTATAAAATTTGCATTCAATATATGGCTGATTTTAATGCAAATCTGATTGGACTGAGGTTTGAGATTTTGGATATTAAATTTCTTTTACATTTAGATGATATTTGCCATCACCCAACTCTCGCTTAAATGTAATCTTAAGCAAATCTCAAAATATGCATCCATTATTAGGGCCATTCACACAGAATGCATTTTTCGATTCCGCTGCGCTCCTTTTCCATTGTTTTTCAATGTAAACATGCACTAGACGGACGTCTTTAACTGTTGCGCTCTGGTCTCGCGCCTTTGCAGCGTCTCGCGCACGACACGGCGTTCTAAAAACGCTCAAACGCTCAAGTTAAAAGAAGTTCAACTTCTTTTCAACAAAACGTGTCTCTAGAACTTGTGCCTTTATTCGTTCCATTGACCATCGTGTTATGGGTGAACCGGCCCTTATACTGTATTTTTATAATGTTAAAATTCCCAAATTCACTTGTAGCATGCAAAATGATGGCTTATCTAGTATATCAGCCAGAATTGTAGTATTGGTGCATTCCTACATAAGGGGGTATCGAGTTTTCTTTAAGTGTCTGTGCCTTTAAACCATTATTATTGTTATTTTTCAGCAATACTATTCAGATTGTTTGGTATAAACATGTCAACAGTTCTATCATCTCCACCATGATAGAAAAGAGTACTGTAGAGGACAGTTTACGTTAATTCTAATCGTGTCATTCTGTGTGGCAATGTTGTGAATGTAATCTGTACGCTTGTACTGCAATATACTGCAATATTTTTTCATAAGACGACAGCAATTTATTTTTTACTTTAAAGAAGTTAAAGGGTTAGTTCACCCAAAAATGAAAATTCTGTCAGTAATTACTCACCCTCATGTTGTTCCAACCCCGTAAGACGTTCGTTCATCTTCGGAACACGAATTAAGATATTTTTGATGAAATCTGAGAGCTGGATCACTCCTCCATAGGCTTCTTCAGGGATTGAACTTGCCGGCCTCGAAAAGTTATTAAAGACATTGTTAAAATAGTCCAAGTGACTACAGTGGCTCAATCTTAAGTTTATCAAGCGACGAGAATACTTTTTGTGCGCAAAAACAAACAAAAATAACGACTTTATTTCAACTATTCATGTCCATCTCCTTGGGCCTCGAGTCAGTTAACTAGTGTAATAGCGTAAGCTTCTGTTGTTGTACGTCACACGCATCACGCACATGACCAGCGTCGGCCAATAGTGAGCCTACGTGTGACGTAGCTCTACGGAATCACACTACGTTAACTGACTAGAGGCCCAAAGAGAAGGACATGAATAGTTGAAATAAAGTCGTTATTTTTGTTTGTTTTTGCGCACAAAAAGTATTCTCGTCGCTTGATAAACTTAAGATTGAGCCACTGTAGTCACTTTATTTTAACGATGTCTTTCATAACTTTTGGGCCGGCCAGTTCCGATCCCTTAAGAAGCCTATGGAGGAGTGATCCAGCTCTCAGATTTCATCAAAAATATCTTAATTCGTGTTCCGAAGATGAACGAAGGTCTTACGGGGTTGGAATAACATGAGGGTGAGTAAATACTGACAGAATTTTCATTTTTGGGTGAACTAACCCTTTAATACTTTTTTTTCTTTTCGGGAAGGACATTGAATTGATCAAAAGTGACCGTAAAGACATTTACAGTGTTACAGGTTTACATTTTTTAAAAGGTTTAAATTTCAAATAAATGCTGTCGTTCTAAGCTTTCTATTTATTAAAGAATCCTGAAAAAATATGAAGAAGTACAACTGTTTTCAACATTGGTAATAATAAGAAATGTTTCTCGAGCACCAAATCAGCATATCAGAATGATTTCTGAAGGATCATGTGTCACTGAAGACTGGAGTAATGATGTTAAATTCAGCTTTGCATAAATTTGAAAATGTATTCAGATAGAAAAGATATTTTAAATGGTAATAATATTTCACAATATTACTGTTTTACTGTATTTTGATCAAATAAATGCAGCCTAAACTACATTAAAAACATTTTTAAAAATCTTACCAACCCCAAACGTTTAAACAATACATACTGTCCTTCTTGTTTACCCCTGTGTATGTTCAGCTGTGGAGAAACAGGCCTCTCCTTCCTCAGACACAGAGAAGACCAACACGTGGATAATCGTAGGGGTGGTAGTTCCCGTGGTGGTGGTCGTCATTATAATAACTATCCTGTACTGGAAACTCTGCCGCACTGACAAACTGGAATTCCAGCCAGACACCATGAGCACCATCCAGCAAAGACAGAAGGTGAGAGAGAGAGACTGGAAATGCTATGTAATGATGCGATATTGAAGCACTGCTTCTCCTGACAAATCCTGACAAAACTAAGGTTCAACCGTATGTCATGCTGTCATTTTGTTTTGTTTCCTTTTCTGTCCACTAAGTCTGCTGATGTGTCAGTGACATTGCTAATAAGTATGTGGCTCCTGTGAGTCTGAGCTGCTTATCTCGTCTCTGATTTAAATGACTGTAGCCGGATACAAGCCAGCTTTGAAAGATCAGAATTGGATACATGGGGATGTGTTTTTTAGTTGGCTATCCGCTACTCTACCCATTTATGCTCACAGTTAATCTTGGCATTGGGAAGTTCGTTTAGAGAGTTCATTTCAATGATCCGATTCAGTCATTCGTTGAGTCCTAAGACAAGTGTTCCCAGAAGTCCCTGCGTCATTTTCTGTAGTGAAATAAATGTTTATCTTTTCTTTCTAATGTTTATCTCTATCTAATTTTTCCAGGTTTTTTGTATGGGTTGTGTCTAGGCATGAGCTAAACATATTTTCAAACTTAACTAATGAGTGTGTTGTCTGAATGACTAGTCAGTCTTAAGGAATCCCTGTGTATGTATGTAGGGTCCAGCAAACTGTCTTGAAACGTGTTTTGATAAGAGAGCCAAGATTTTCCACATTTGATGAATTATATACTTTTCAGATGACTAGCCGACCATCTGCTCATCCCTCGACTAGATTGTTTAAAACAAATGTGTGATAGTGTGAGCAATGTATTTATATAAATTAGACCCTTTAAGTTAATTTCATCTCATTGAATCATCTTTAAAGCACCACCGTTATGATCACATAATGCTATTGAGTGAAGCTATTGCATCACATCCCAGGCTGTTTTTGAGTGCCCTGTCCTTGCAGTCAAATGAATTCAGACATCACTAGTCATTCTAAATCTCGCTACGATATCCAGACTTGTCATGCACAAGCACACACACTTGCAGAGTCACAGCAGTAATGAAGTCTAACGCTCAGCTGGCTGTGGGGTTAATGCTCAGCAGTGATGTTCTTATCCAGAACAGCGCCCGCTGATCCTCTCATTCTCAACTCCTTGATTTAACTACACTCATCTGAGGAGCGCATAGTCATTAAACACTCCATGTGTGCCCTTACTAGCATACCTACTACCCTCATGAACTATCCCCACTCTCATTTACAATCTCACCAATGACTCTTCTTAATCCTTCTGTGCTGTTCTCTGGTTTAATCAGTTTATATTGTTAAATGGCCTGCTTCACACTTTATTCTTCATGCTTTTACTTAACTTCATGAATTTGACATAATGTACTTTGACACAAAGGAACAGTTTACCCAAAAATTTTTAATTCTGTCATCATTTGCGTACCATTAAGTCGTTTCAAACCTTTGACTGTGGAACTAAATATATTTTAAAAAAAATTAAAACAATTGTGTTTTCCATCCCAAGCATCTGTTTTGCATAAGAAAGTAATTCATGCAGGTTTGTAAATGATGACAGAATTTTAATTTTTAAGTTAGTTTACCTTTAAGTTGGCAGTTTTTTTTTTAAAAAGGTGCAGTTTATTTTTTAGTTTATTTTTTTATGTTAAAATATTTTGGTGTCACTTTATAATAAGATTAATTTAGATATTGGGTATAATGAAATAATGCATTTTATAGGTTTAATGTAGGTTCTAATACATTTTTAACATTTAACATCAATTTTTTAGAAAATCCACACTCCTGCAAATACATTGGAGCCCATTTAGAGCTTCTCTATCTCTTGTTTATCTAACACACATCCATTCATATCTTAACACTCTCCCTCTCCCATGCTTGTGCAGTCCAGCTCCTCATTACAGAAATCAATACCAGTAATCCAGAGGTCAATGACTCCTGTCAAGAGCAAAAAGCTTTTAGATAGTAGTGATGAGGAAGAAGAGGAGGAGGAAGAGGAAGGTGAAGAGGAGGAGGAAGAAGAAGAAGATGACGACGAAGAGGAAGAAAGGAGAGAGGAGAAGGTAGAGGCTGGTAGATGAGTCGTCATAGTAGACTGTAGAATATTCCTCAAGTTAGTCCTCGCACAAGAAGCACAAGATTCCTCTTCCTCTTTGCCCCTCAGCAGTCTGAGGCACCAGTGTAACCGTGTCAATGTCGTCTGTGTTTGGACCATTTTTTAGTTCTCTGTGGACTCTGTTGACTTGAGTATGTAGTCTGATTTGCAAACAAATGACTCTTTGACTCTTCAACTGGTTCTTTTAAATTAATCAACTCATTGAGTCAAAGATAAATGAATCTGTCTTAAGCGGTTCACTCCCTCACTGAATCAGTTGAAGAGGTTCTCAGTAAGCATCTGATTCTCTTATGGAATCGCAAGTCATTATCCAATTGGAAATAAATCAAGATTCTTTACTATGTAAAGGTGAATTGAATTGAATTGAATATGTTATGTGGTACAAATATGGTAGATTCTATAGAAAACATTACCGTTTAGAAGTTTGGGGTCGGTAAGATTTTTGAATATAGTCTCTTATGCTCACCAAGACTGCAATTATTTCATCAAAAATACTGTAAAAAAAAATATACATTTTGTGATATGTTATTAAAATGTAATTTTTTTCCTTTTATGGCAAAACAAATTTTTTAGCAGCCATTTCTCCAGTCTTCAGTGTTACATGTTTCTTCAGAAATCAGTCTAATATGCTGATTTAGTGCTCAAGAAACATTTCTTATGCTGAAAACGGTTGTACTGCTTACCATTTTGTGGAATTTTCTTTTTTTAAACGATACTATTTTTTCTTTGAACAGAAAGTAAAAAAAAAAGGCATTTAATTTACATAGAACATTATCAATGTCTGTACTGATCAATTTAATGCATTCTTCCTGAATAAAAGTGTTCATTTCTTTAAAAAAATGAAAAACTCTTACTGACCCTAAACTTTTGAACTGTAGTGTAGTTAATGATCAATTGTTTGCTGACTCCTCAAGTACGAAGAATCGTTAGATTTCTTATGATTCCCCTAGCCATGTTTATTAGTACCATCAAAAATAGTGTTTGTGAGAATGTAGTAGATGGACATGTTGGTTAGCTGTTGGAATTTGACTTGATGGGAACAGAAGCAACTTCTTATCACCCTTATCCAAATCAGAAACCTGTAATACCTGCCAGAAGCTTAAAGAAAAAAGAGAGTATTGAGGAAGAGGAGGAGGAAGAAGAAGAGGAGAAAGAAATGGCCAAAGAAGAACCCAAGAAAGCTGTAAAGAAACCATTGCCGTATAGAATGAGGAAGCCGGAGGTATCAGAACTGTAGTGTCCGAAAGTAGTGTTGTGATGTAGAGATGTATTTCCTAGAATGCAGCAGTTAGTCCTAGTTTTTCCAATTGCTGATAATCTCCCTTTATGGCACTGATAACCAGCAATTGGAGAAAAAAAAACAATGTATTCTCAACAACAGATGTATGTATTTGAATGTGTCAATAATAATGTCTGTTTCCGGCCTTTTGGTCTAAGCCTGTGCAGCTTCGACAATATATTGTGGCCTAGATTTGGTTACAGCAGAAGTACAGGCCAACAGAAACGAGATAAGAGCTTTCTTTGTCACAAACAGAATTTGTCTAAACAGCCTCATTTGCATTTGAAAGGGAATGTGATAGGAAACCGAGAAATAGATGTACTCCCAGAAGATAAGCATATTTCAGTCCGTCTCTATTGTGCAGCAATGCTCACTGCACGACTCAAAGCTCAGCTTATGCATTTTTCATAAATCTCTGTGTTTTCTGGCAATATATGAAACCGAGAATTTGATTTGACCCACCCTGACCCTTTGCACAGTTTGTTTGATCTGGAAAGTCATAAAACAAACAACAGTGATTCATCAGCTTTAAAGAAACAGTTCACCCAAAAAAAAAAGAAAAACCTGTCATCTTTGTGTCAATATTCTTTCTGTTTTTCTTTAAACACAAAAGAAGATATTTTTCACCATGTCCAGGCTTTTTTCCCCCATACAATAAAAGTAAAAGTATATCATAAAAGTGGTCTATATAATTCGTCATATGAAGTCATACTATATGTGATGATCAGAGAGAAACTGCTCTTGTCTGTTTACTGTTGCGACTAGACACAGACCGTTTTTGCAAACAACTCAAATCCCAATCCGACATCATTACTTTTGTCATGAATGCTCCAAGAATAGCTATGTAAAGATATTCAATGAATAACAAATTTTCAGTCTATTTTTTCACACAGGTATCATCTGGTTTCAGAAGACTTAGAATATAGTGTGTGATAGGACTGGGATGAAAATGTTCAGATCTTAGTCTGATTTTCTTTGTTATTGTTTTTCTTATCTTTTTCGTATTTATTCTTTTTTCATAGGATATAAAAATTGGTAAGTGATCGCTGATATCATTAACCAGCAATCCACTTGATATATTAGAATTCTGAATATTTGTGAATATTTTATCGATTAAGGTAGGGCAGTGTGCAGTAATCCTTGTAATTGTTGGATATAAAGAAAGACTGTACAGTACATAGTGTCTAAGAATTTTCCAGTGGGTCTAAAACAAAAATTCACCTTTGGTTTTCTACAAAATAGAAAGTTTGAAACAACTTAGTTCACCCAAAAATGAAAATTCTGTCATTTACTCACTCAGGTTGTTCCAAACCTGTATGAGTTTCTTTCTTGTGTTGAATGCAAAAGAAGATAATTTGAACAATGTTGATAACCAAACAGTTGACGGTGCCAAGCATACTATGGCAGTCAATGGCTACCGTCAACTGTTTGGCTACCAATATTCTTCAAAATATCTTCTTTTGTGTTAAACAGATGAAAGAAACTCGTACAGATTTAGAACAATTTGATGGTGAGTAAATGATGACTTATTTTTGGGTGAACTATCACTTTAAAAGTGGGTAAACAATGACAGAATTTTTCGTTTTGGGTGATGTTTCTCTTTAAAAAATCGAAATCTTTCTTTTGAATATCTCATTCTTTAAAACTTCACTGCTTTTCTTGCGGCTGCTGGTCTCTGAAAGAGCCAGTGTGAATGTGCTTTCTCTGCTGTTGTGTTTGTTCAGTTCATTTAATCTTTCACGGCGCAGCAGACAGACAGGCCATTATAGCTCGTCTAGCTGGTCTGGCCCGCAGTCAGTCTGCTGACCTCTAATCAAGTTCATCCATTTTGAAAGCTCACGCTTCTCATGGTCTCTTACAGAGTCAATTACTGTCCTCTTGCTCAATTTATTCCTATGATACTGGCAATCTGAGGATTATGGAAATTCACATTCTCTCTATATGCCCTGTGTACATGCCCACGTTGACATCTCTTAAGACGCCTAGACCGAAAACCCTGGCCTGAATCTGTCTTTTGTTTGTGAGCAGCGTGTCGTCCCTCACTCCCCTTTGCAATACCTCCATTTTCTTTACTCTGCAAATAATTTTGATTCTCCAAATTAACATTTTTCCTCTCTCTGGGGTGGTGGTCTTTAGCTGCAGGCACCCAGCGTGAAGGGTTTTGACTTTGCCAAGCTGCACATGGGCCAGCACAGTAAGGATGATCTCATGGTCATCCAGGACCCGTTGCCGCTTCCTGTATCCGCTAAGGAGCAAAGCCCAGCTGAGAATGCAGAGGTGCCCACACCAAAGTCCAAAGCCTCCACCAAAGCTTCTCGTAATGGCCAGCGGCGCAGGGGCCAGTAAGTCTACTTCTAGTAAATGTTTCTTTGATATTCAGGATCAAACATGTTCCACATAATTCAGTTTTTGCTAACACTTTGCAATAAGGTTCCATTTATTAACATTAGTTTATTACATTTGTTAAAATGAACAATACATCTACAGCATTTATTGATCTTAATGTTAATTTAGATTAATTTACTAATGCATTTAAAAAAAATTGTCAATCCACTATGAACTAACATAAAAAAAACAATGAACAATTGTGTTTCATAAACTTCAATATGTTCGGTAACAGTTTACATTTAAGGTTTCATTTGTGAACATTAGTGAACAAACAATGAACAATACTTCTACAGCAATTGTTAATTTGAGTTAATGTTGGTTAATATCATCATTTGCATCTGTTAACATTTGTTCATGGACTGTAAACTAACATGAGCAATAAAAATTGTATTAACTAAAGCGAGTAAAAAAAAAAAAATCCTTTTCTTTCTCTCTCTCTGGAGAAGTCGCATGGAAATCGTTGATGCTCGTATGGTCGCGGCTCGCATTGTGTGAGTAATTGCAAGCCGAGCCGAGTAGGTTAGGAGCACTTCCCGACCTCCCGTTAATTTTTAAACGTGTAAAAAATTCTGGGAGTCGGCCCGATTTTGACCAGTGCATAGGTTGTTCCCTATTGTCAAATCATACACAATACACAAACACGTCACACAGGCTAAATCTGTGATTATAATTATAGTCCAGTGGCTGCATTTTGCTGCATGAACCTCATGTTAAAATAACTTGTTAATTTATTTAAAGGCAGTAATCTAGCTAGTGAGTCGACTGCTGATCAATAGAAAGCTTTTTAAAAGGATTACATCTCACACTCTAATCAATAGAAGGGTCTTAGGGGTGAAATTACCACGGATCTCATGTCTTGCAAACATTTAAAAGTGCCTGAAACCATGTTACAAGTAAACTGAAGTAATGTAATTCTGATATATTCTTTACTGTGTTGGCTGAAATGGAATAACACATATTTTTGGACTATACTTAAATATAGATCAATAAAATTAAATAAACACACATATACTAAACGGTCCAAGTTAAAATGACTAGTCAAAGACAAATACATTCCTAATAATTAAGACAGTCAGTAGGTCAAATAGTTCTTGACTAAAAGGGTAGGGAATAGGTAATAGATTCAATGACTAAGTCATGAACTTTTGGTTGGTCACATTAGATCTGAAAGTGCTCTTTGAAAGCATGACAGGATTAGGTCATCATCCTCTTGCTTTTTCCCTGGAGACACATGCCTCATCAAAACTGGATGAGGGATAAATATTGTTGTCCGTCAAGATGAGGATGTCATGGTTCTGAGGAGATGTTGTGATGAATTAGATCCAAGGCTCATGTGTACATTTAAAGCTGCAGTCCGTAGCTTTTTTTGGGTTAAAAATTATCCAAAATACATAACCAGCCAGTGTTCAAAACTATCTGCTTGCCTTAGCTCGATTCAAAACGGTAAGCTTGTAATAATGTTTTTAATTCCAGTGGTACTGGTGGATTTCTGCGGGAGATTCGAGCATGTCTTTGCGTCATTACGTCACATCTGTACACATAAAGGAGTCTCGGCTAGTATAAGCTATATTGCGTGTGAGGATGCTGGAGGTGGAGATTTATAGCCTTTTCTCACAGCACTTGATATAATTAAACTTATCAATTTGATGGCGGATCCAGAAAGGTTAAAACGACAATCACCAGTGACAACTGGAGATTCACCCGCTGTAAAATGCAAAAGACTTCATTCGGTCTTCGGAGTGAAAAAAGAGACTGCAACCGGACCCATGCGAAAACAAGGATACAAATCGGAAGGACAAAATGTAGTCACGTAATGCTGACGTTGTTAACATTACCAATTTGTGAACAAAGTATAATTTGCACGGTTTTATGTGATATGATAAGCGATTATTAGATTTAATCAGCGCGATTTACTGCAATGTCAGTACCAGAACAAAAGTGGATGTCTCTTACTTTCCGGAATTTTCCGGTGAAACTTCTTATGTTGGTCATACTTCCAAAAAGAATAATCTGTGATTGTGAAGGCCAGTATCCACACCGGCGCGGTGACTGACAGCCTCACAGTCTCCTCAAACATTGTGTTCATCCGCGCTGTGCCGTGTCGAGGGTGTTGAAGTACAACTCACGTAAAGTTGATAATTCCGCGAATGACTGCAATTGCATATTTCGAACAGAGATGGCGACAAAGAGTAAAAACTGCAGACTGCAGCTTTAAAAGTGGGATACATGGATGAATTTGTAATTATTTAAATTGTAGCTTTCACGTTGTTTTCCCACGTTGTTTTTAAAATGTCCTCAAAAGACACTTTTTTGGCATAAATTGTATGGCATGTTTTCATACCATGGTTTAGAATGAAAAGGTTTTCCTTGTATCTTTTGCTTAGGATTTCTCCATCAGAGGGCGACTCTATAGACAGTGATCCACCCAGCGAGAGAGGATCACCTGAGGACGGCACGAGACCTGCTGGTCTGCCTGCCGATCCAAAGCAACCACGTAAAGCAGCTGTTAATGGATTAAACGGTACGTTTCTGTATATTTTAACTGGCAATACAATCATGTATCATACATGTATTGCAGTTCTTTTTCTCATTTAAATTGTGATCCAATTGTGATTTGACAAAGTATTGAATCCTGACATGTATCGTAATATGCCTGATATCATGTTAATTTAAAAAAAATGCATAAATTAACTTTTAATAAGTAAAATAATAAAATAATTTACATGATGCGTTTAATGGTTTATATTGTGATAGTTCATGTTGTCCTTTTGATTGTTGCCTTTGTTCTACGCACCTGTCAAGTACTTGCAGGTGTGCTAGGTTAATTGTTCATTGATTGAATAAGTTCAAAAATAAAAATATATCTTCAAACAGATAGACTTAAGATTTAAAACTCTTCTTAAATATGTCTTTAAGAATTTTGAGAGAAATGAAATTCATATAAAAAAATATATATAGTTAAATGTAACCATAAAGCAGTGTTGTTATTGTCAACTTAAACTATTTAAAAAATTGTGAAAACTGAATATACAAAATAAAAGCTAATTCAAAATATTAATAATACAATAATATTAATAAATACAATAATAGTATATACATAATACTGAAATAACACGGCAGTTCAGTAAATCCTTTTTAAATGTTACTTTTAAATTTAATAGAAAAAACATAATCGATGTATTAATTTCACATGTAATTGGACAGTTTACATGTAAACATGGGCAACCAATGATGTTTTGACTAAATATTAAACACGCCCCTTTGATGCATGTTGGCTGCTAGCAAAGGCAAAAGATTCCTTTGTTTTATTAAATGGCAGTCCTAGGCCTCCATAATGGCCAGTGGAAGAAGAACATGTGACGTAAGATTTACAGAGAGGAGAAAGTAATAAAACCTGCTGGGTCTTTCAGCTGAAGATTTGTGGCTCTTCCTCTTGATTTCCTCTCTAGTCAGCCCAGACTCATTCATCCTGCCTCCTTTGTGAAGAATGACTAACCCTCATCTTTACTCTTCACTGCTTGGATTTTTTTTCTTTCACTTTCTTGCTCTCTTTCTCTCTCTCTGTGTGCGTTCCTCTCTTGTCAAACAGTGCCTGTGGCGATAACCCTCTCTCAGCACTCATTTCTGCTTTACCAGACTAAATAGGCTACAGTCTGACTAGCCAAGAAATGACATGGAATTCAGTCTTAGCACCTCGCATTCTCTCTTTCTCTGTCTGATTGCCATTCCCTTTTAACGCCCTTCCCTTTTGAAAATCCCTTTCATCCTCCTCTTCTCATAATTGTGTTCCAGTGATATTTTCCAAGATAAAATACTGTCTTATCAAGCATTCCTCTCAAACATGTTTTTACATACAACTCATGCTATATTTGATCTCAATTAAATGATCTCCATTACTTCTTGCCATCATTTAACTTTTCTCTTGTTCTTTTACGCTCCCTCCATCCATTCATTCATCTGTTACTGGCTCACAGGGAAGAATAGAATTGGTAAGAGCGGTGCTGTTATGTACCATAGTGTTAGATCTTCTAATTAATGTTCATAGTTTTTGTGAATTCCCCCCCAAAACGATGGATCATCCTCTAGCCTTGAGGTCTTTCACATTTCATTTGAAATAAGAGCCAGGGAGACGCTGCCCCCATCTGGTGTGAAACGATACTCGAGAGAGGAGATTCAGACGAACAACTTGCTTTCTTTGTCAGTTGTCAGACCTTATGAGGCTAGCTTTGTTTTGATAGTGTGGAACGCATTAGATATATTTATGATTTGTTAAATATAAGTGTGCGTATAATATACAGTGGCCTCAAAAAGTATACGGACACGTCAGCAACCGTGGCGTGTATGAATTTCATTACATTATATATAAAAAATCTAATCTGTGATGATTGATTGATGATAAAGCATTTATTATAAGGAAAAGTAGCATAAACAGTTTTTAAGCCAAATATTTCAGAATAAATAGTGTTTTAATATAAAAGCAGCATTTATTGTAGATGCCAACTTTTCTGCCATATTCTTTTTCTGTATCATGAAATGAATACTTTATCATGATTTACAATTAGGTTTGGGCCATTATATACACAGCAACTTAACAAATGACATCTAAAAACCATAGAAATAGAATCAGATATCACTGGTGACTTGGCACCCAGTTTACATATCTTTTTAATAACTGATACTTAATATTATTCAAAAGTTTGGGGTTGATAAGATTTCTTTAGTGTTTTTGAAATAAGTCTCTTATTCTCATCAAACATGTTTATCTGGTTAAAAATGCTGTAAAACAGTACATTACTATTTAAAATAACCGTTTAACACAGTCTTCAGTGTCACATGATCCTTCAGAAATCATTCTATTATGCTGATTTGGTGCTCATTTACAAGAAGCATTTCTTATTATTATCAGTGTTGAAAACAGTAATATTATATTCATTTTATATTGCACCTGTGAAGTTTTGGCACCCTCTTTTATTTGTCCTTATAGGTCCACCCCCAACGAATGGCATGGATGAGCCATTATCTTCAGCTTCCATTTTTGAGCATGTGGACCGATTGTCCCGCCCAATTGACGGCCCTAAACGCCTCCATAATAAAATCCAGCTCATCGCCATGCAGCCGATGCCAGCGCTGCCCCTGCCCAGCCCAACCGCCAATGACAGAGCTGCAGAGAACACCAAGCTGAATAAAGAGGTATCCTTCACCCGCCATACATCTAATTCACATTTATTTCACAAGGCTTTTCCTTAGGGGCCCATTTCAAACTTCAAGGTCTCTACGGTTATGAATTTGATTCACAGCGTCCAAAAGCCTCATTAGCAATAATCAATATGTGCTTCTCATTGACTCTAAGGTCATTGACTGTTCCTTCTTCTCCAGATCCAGGTAGCTTTACGGCACAAGTCTGAGATCGAGCACCATCGCAATAAGATCCGCCTGAGGGCCAAAAGGAAAGGCCATTACGACTTCCCTGCTATGGATGATCTCATTGATGGTCTTGGCGACCCCAAAGAGCAGGACCGAATTTACCTGAAGGCCCAGATGCAGATTGACAAGATACTCGATCCAGATATTCCCATGCCCTCTCTGTACACCGAGCCCAAGAAAGGGTAAAAAGATCTGCAACTGACAATGAAACTAATCCTGAACACAGAATTAAGCCCTGTTCTCACCAAATCTGAATTTTCTGGACTTTTGCAACAACAAGAAAATCACTTTCCACATAACTTGATTATTTAAAGGCCAAATGCTCACTCAAGAGTGTGTGTGTTTGTTTGTGTATGTTTTGCAGCAACCGAGGGAAGCGTTCTCCTAAACAGAGAAGGAAACAGCAGATGAACGGTGATCTGACAGATGCTGACCGAGATAGACTCATAACGACTGACAGCGATGGGACATACAGGAAATACCCTGGAGTCAATAACATAGCATATGTGGTCAGTCTGATGATGAGATCTGTACTTTTTCTCTCGCTCTCTACGCTGTACTTCTGCATGTAACTGTGTAATCAACTCCATACGGTTTCTTTCCTGTTTTCCCCATGTATTTGTTATTCAAAACATCTCTAATCAGTTCCATGTTGTGAATTAGCAGGTGCTAAACTTCACTGCTTCTGAAAAAAATAGTTTTAGGATTAATATAATAATAGTATAGTTTTTGGAGTAATATAATCTTACTTGAGGTTTACATAAATTTCCTTAAAAAGTAGATGGTACTATTGAAAATATTCAAATATAAGCTGTGTTTATATATACACACCTTCATATCTAGTATAAAAGTGACAGTAGGGCTGCACGATATTGGAAAAACTGACTTTGCGATATTTATTTTTCTGCATTTTTATGTTTCAAAAGATAACTTGAATAGTTCTATTTGGAAAGAATTAATCATTCTAGAATGGCGAGGTGGTTTGAGTGCATCCGCGTAGAAAATAATAAACAAATTACAAACATAGATAAATACAGATGGAGCAAAGATAGAAATTAAAATAAACTTTGTTTTTCAAGTAAGTCTAACAGTGTTCGGGTATAGAAACTCTCATAACAGAAAATAACATCGGAAACATTGGAAAATAACATTGCATAGTCTTATCTGTATAAATGAAATATAATTATTTGTTAAAGTGATTTCTTTGTCATTCGTTTTAATCAATCAACAAAAGACAGAGTGACAGCCCTGAGTGACTGTAAAGACATTTACAATGTCTATATTTCTATTTCAAAGAAATGCTGTTGCTTTTGAACTTTTTGTTCATCAAAGAATCCTAAAAAATGTATCAATGTTTTCACTGAAATTAAGCAGCACAACTGTTTTCAACATTGATAATAATCACCAATCAGAATATTAGAATGATTTCTGATGGATCATGTCACTGAAGACTGGAGTAATGATGCTGACATTTTAGCTTTGCCATCACAGTAATACATTACATTTTAAATATATTAAAATAAAAAATAGTTGTTTTAAATTTTAATATTTCACTATATTTACACTATATTTAAATAAATGCAATATTTATATTTAGTTGCAATGTTGAAAGTTAATCATCTTTCATTTGCTTTTATTTCGCAGTCGGACCCAGACCAGGGGCCCGAGCATCATAGCCCCTCCCCGACGGATGACGTGTTCCATGGTCCCGTTTCTCCTCCTCCTGGTCACCCTCCTCCTCCACCCCCCTATCTGCCGCCTCAGCCGTCTATAGAGGAGGCCCGGCAGCAAATGCACTCTCTACTGGACGATGCCTTCGCCCTCGTGTCTCCTTCGTCTCAGGGCAGCACAGCTGGCATCACTCTGCCTGGGGTCGGTCTCAGCCCCGGACCCCCGCCTCCTTTGAGCCCGCCATCCCGTGGTCCTCGGCCCTGGGGCCCAGGATACCTGCCTTTGAATCCCTACACAGGGGTAAGAACAATCCATAGTGAATTAGTAATGAATACCATTTGTAGCCTTAGTTAAAAAAAAAAAAAAAAATGTAAACAACATGCTGTGTCCTAAAAATATTTGGTTTAATGGTTAACCTGGCCCTAGCCAGATGAATTTCGCTCCGCCTAGCTTCACTCATCCATCTGGAACCGATCCATTGAAATGGCGTTTCAGAAGGCTGGGCCTTATCAAAAATTCTTGCATATGATTGGATAAGCCACTTGTCTGTCATCTTTATCGACGTGCTATTTCAACCACTCACACCGAAGCCAACCCGTGAAAAAAAAAGCCTTAAGAGCCGTTCTCTGATGTTCTTTTAATGAAACAATATTAGGTAGATTGGACAACACGGATGAAATAGCAGCATCAATGTTAACGCTTGTTTCCTCGATGCGAGCCGCCATTGTTGTCTGAATCAAAACAGTCTCACGGTCGCTTCTCCACTACGTCACATCTATGAAACTCCCGCCCTGCGTCCTGATTGGCTAAACCATAAAGTTGGTTGGAGAAATCACTCTCAATGGAAGAGGTTCCAGATGGATGTGAGTGAAGCTAGGCGGAGCGAAATTCATCTGGCTAGGGCCAGGTTAGAACATGGTTCCTACAGTAATGGAATAATTCACCAAAATTTAAAAACGATTATTTTCGGGCCTGGAGAATTGAGGAAAAACGATCTATTAGTTAGTTATCTTAAAAATATATATATATGCTCAAGAATATTTCATGGTCTACAAATCAATTTAAATTATTTTCAAAATTCACTTTTGACCTTACTTTTAACTCTATAAACAAACATAACGAGTCGGAAGGCTTTATTTATCAAACATCTCTGTGTTGCATCAGTCTGTGGAGGATCAGATCCGTGCACTAATCAGTTAAGGACACCCCCATCTGTCAACCGTAAATATACCCTTGACTTTAGATGTCAGGTCAAACTGACCTTGGAACAGCCTCTCTGATTTCAGCCCTACACGAACCTGGAACCAGCAGATCACAGATCTTTATTATTATTATTAATCGTCCTGCTATGAAATCATGAATGAAACCTCAAATTGTGCGGCTTGTTGAGGAGAGGTGTTATTACTTTTCTTAGCGCTTGGACGTGGGATTTTCCAGTCTTTTTTGAACACATCCTGTTCAAAGAGAAACCCCTAGATGATCCACATTCATGTGATGATGATGAAAGCTGATGTGTTACTGTTCCCTTTGTACAATCCAATACTTATATGATTTCCCCTTGTCTAAAGCTGCGGTCACGCTACACTTTATGCTCCATTTGATTTCCATCCAGAACAGAGACGCAAGCATATGTGTCAAAGTTTTGTCTTCGTTTTATTGAACTATGACTTGAATTTGAATTTGTTTGCATCTAGATTAAAAATAAAACACTAAATACAATAATTAAGATATTAGTCAAATTAAATAATTAAAATAAATAAATTGTGTAATTGTACATCACAATATTATAATGTAGATTTATGAATAGTGACTTTGCTTAATTGAATTACATTTAACAGTCATATTACGTTTTTAGTATGGTTAAAGATCAACTTGAAGTGAGCATAGGAGGGTGGCAAAGGTAATCTAAAAAATGATCTAAAAATACAGGAAATAAGCATGTAAAAAAAGGACATTTATAAATGAACATCAAAACATCAACATTTGAGCACCCACATTTACATTTAAGCATGTATAAATCCATGTTTTCTTCTTTATTGTGACACATTTAAAACTTGTGTCTGCTTCATAAGACCAGAGGTGCAATGACTAAAGGATTTCTGGTTACAGTGGTTTGTTTCAATCAGTTAATTTCTTGATTTCATTATGAATATGTTTTGATGTGTGATAAACCGTACTAGAGCAATAATTTGATGCTCTGGAATCACATCAGAGGAACACCGACTTGGGGTTTTCCACAGATCAGGAATAAACATCCCAGAATGGAAGCCTCATCTGTCAACACTGTGTCTTGAATGAAGTATTTCTGTTAGATTGAGGCCTTTGAGTGGAAGGGAAAGAGGGGATTGCAAAGGCCAACTGAGGCAAAATATGAACCGACTAATAACTCAAATGTTTATTTAAGAGTCAAGATGGAACAGGGAATGGTGCGCTGTCCTTAAAATGGCATTCCCAGCTCAACTATTTAAAAGCTTTTCTGTTTTCTGGGTCACAGGGTTTATTTAGGCTGATAGACAGAAACACCAGTTTGGGTGGAACATACAGCTACTAATGTGTTTTAGACTTAGCAATGTATTAAATTAAACCTTTTATGCATTAAATCATTAAGTGCAATGGATGTGCCAAGAATCATCAATCTGTTATAAGCTCAACGACTGCGTGTTTGTGTGTATTTCTTTCAGAGATATGCTGAATTAGGTCTGCCTCCTTCCAGTGTGCAAGGTTTACTACATAGGTGAGTATATTAGGGATATGGATTTTTTTATTTCAGAGCATGGTGGCCGATTGCCGACATTAAGATGATACGCTATATATGATATCACACTATTTAATTGAAAGATAGTAAATAACACATGCACAACAATTGTAGAAATACAAATTATATTTATTTGACATATTTACTAAATTAGAAATAATTGGAAAATAAATCATTATGCAACAAATTTATTTAAGTTTGATTAAAAGGGGGGGGGTACTCAATAATCTTGTACAGTATGTCTGTGTGCACTGGCAATCATATTTTCTCAAATAAATACTGGGTAGCACTACTTTTACATCGTTCTCAGCACAGCACTGTCAAAATAAAAGTCCACTTCCGATGCTTAACTTAATCCGATAATTTTAAAAAATGCCAAATATCAAGACAATATATCAGCCATGGCGATATATGGCGAACTACTAGAGTTTTATTGAGGTCATGAAGGTTTGTGTGTTATTCTGGAACTGTGAGCAAATCCCATTTCAGCCGTCGGTTAATGGGAAAGATCAAGTCACTTTTTGTTAGTGCAGTGTGATTTGTTAATAGCTGGGGTCTGAAGTCTTCCTATCTCTACAGACAGGGATTGGGGCCCGGCTACATCCCTTCAGGAGAAGCCCTTCCTGTTGAACAGCTACAGCCGGAGTCGCTTTACACTGGTCGAGGTGGACTCGCGCTTACAGATGATCTGCCCTCCTCCGCCAGGCCACGACCTGTAGGTGGCACTACAGGTATGAGTTTAAAGGTTTAACTAGGAAAAAAATGTGCTGATATGAAATGTTTGAAAGAAAAGAGTGATGGATGCATGGATAAAGACAAATGACGCAATATAAAGTATACTGTAGGTTACATACATGTCTGTTCTGTTCACAGGTGCCCAGCTACATCATTTAACCCACGCTGGTCTGACGGGTCGTGTAGGGGACTGCCGGCAGCCTGGTGGGTTAAACTGGAGCCCGTATCATGAGGACGACAGCAAATTCGCTAACAACAGAGAGCCTGTAAGTTTAAATACTTTCTTTCTTAATTAAAAAAGGGACAAATAACATATTGAAGTCTTTAAAGTCAATTTGTATGGACATTACCATAGATAGATAGATGGATAGATAGATAATATTATAGTATGCATTTATTAATGTTTTGAATTAAACTAATATGTAAATGAAAACTAAAAATATAAGTTACATTTTAGTCATTTTGTTATTTTCTTTTGTAATTTTTCTCTTTTTTTTTTTTTTTTTTTTTTTGTAAGTCAACGTAGTAAACTTATTTTATTTCAGTTTCAGGCAACATTTCTAATTTAAGTTTAGGCTTTTCATCTAATATTTATATTTTATTTCAGCTTTATTGCAGTTAACACCATTTTTTTAAAATAGTTTGTTAAAAAATAGCAACACTGAGCTGAAACCCTTTGACCTGAAAGATTGATTGACCCCTTATATTTTAATAACTGAACAACATATTTGCTGTTCTCTAATATGAGCTGTTCTCTAATGTCAGTTAATGGTCACGTGACATGCAGGTAAACAAATAAAAAATTTCATCTTTTTTTCTTTTCTTAGTATTTTATTTTAATTGTGAAAAATAAAGTTGTCCATTACTACATCCACAAACTCCACATCCATGAAAACTCTGACAATATTACAATTTTATTATTATTAATTTATTATAATAAATCATGGCTTTTTTCTGTTATTAGACTGAAATTTTAGGATTAATGTCAGCAGTACACTGACATGACAGCAGTAAATAAAAAACACCATTCCATGCTTCTTATACACATTATATATATATATAAAAAAGAGTATATAAAAAAAAACTTGAACTAAAATAAACTCTAATAATACAGGAATTATTCAAAGAAATAGTATACTATATATGCGGGCTTCAAGAAGTATAGAATATGTCCTCTTCAAACACTTACTATTATCACTCCTTTCTGCCTCCGTAGGAGTCTTTTTCTCACTTAAACTCTTTAATCTTTGTTTTAATCTTCTTTCACTCATTTCTGCCTTCCTTCCTTCCTTTCTTCATTTCTTTTGTTTAGGTTCTTGGCTCTCTTGACTACAGCTCCATCTCTTTATTCCAGACCTCCAGGAATGGCCTGAAAGAGCCATCTTCCACTTCTGCCCACCTGGACTCTCTCGGCCTGGGCTACGCTCCCTCCGCTCCCCTAGAGGAGCCTTCCCCTCCCAACCACTCGTCCGCCTCCCTCATCAAAGCAATCCGAGAGGAACTGATGCGCCTCTCCCAGAAACAGGCAGCGGTACCCAGCTACCACAGCTGAGACCTGCCCCCTCCACCTCCAACAGGCAAAAACTGCACTACACTGCACTGTACTTCCCATGGAAGTGGCTTTTTTGAGAGGACGATGACTGTGCGTCATGTAGCCTCTGCTGCCGCCTGGTGGCTGAGAGCATTAGGACAGGAAGAGTAGACATTTCTCCTTTACTCCCATGTTCCTCTAGCCTGGTTAAAACCAGACCATTCTCAGTTGTAACTGAGTTATGGTCTGGCAAAGCGTCATAGACAAATCATTTCCAGAGGGGCGTCACCAACGGACGTCGCGGATAGACCTAAAACCAGTCAGATCGATGAAGGAGATGACGTATGCAGAGCGGCGGGGAATCTCCGAGTGTTGTTCTTTGCTCGGTTTTTAACAAAAAGGAAACGTTCAAATCGCTTAAAACAGACGCGATAGCTGATTCGACCGAGTGATGTTTGACGGCGGGATCCATTTTTGTAATGTAGGCTACAAAATCTGCTTCAAAATCCCAGCGCTGTCGTCATCATGTAAAGCCCGCCCCAACGTTTCTGATTGGTGCCTCGATTTCGACGGATTGGAAATGGGCTTGAATGAGCTCTTTGCCAGACTAACTTTCAGAGCAAATCTAAATTTGCCGGAAGTTGTCTGTTTTCCCAGGCTAATGTTCCTCTCATGTTCTCCCAACAATTTAGTTGTTTAAAACTCAAGCAGTGTCCTGAGACTGAAGAACAATGTCTTTTACCTTTACAGTCGCATATGTAATTTGGTAGCAAATTATTATTAGAGTTTTGTGTGTGTGTGTGTTTATTTTGAATTTTTGTTGTTTCTTTGCTGTGTACACTGCCTTCACATTTGAATTTTATACCTTGCACTGGCTCTTGAAAATTGAACTGCTTTTGATACCTTAATTGAATCTGTAATTTTTTGCGGTTTGTTTTGTTATGATTTATTTCTCTTCGAGCATCTTCTGCCTGTCCTCTTGGAGTGCTGATTCTTTTATATACCTGTTTAATGGACATAGCATTCATAATACAGTATTGAACCCTACACATATTGTCTTAATTATACTTTAGGGTCCAGTTATAGTGTTTGAAGTAGTGACGTTTTCCCATCTCCATATGCCTTGGTTATGTTTGGCATCTACAAAAGAGCTGGGCATACAGCTTTATGTTCAAATTAAAGCAGTGTTCCAGGTTCAACTTGACAGATTGTAAACAAACAAAAAAATGCATTTTTAGCAAGGTATTAACAATGCAATAGTTGTTCTCGAACTGTAATCTGCGAGTCGATTTGCTGATTTAAAAAAAAAAATGTTTTTAAATAATATTAATTAAATAATAAAAATAAGTATAATTGAGTCAATGATAAAAATAGAATAATAGTTAAATAATTGTAATGTCAATGAATTGTACATGAATTATTGTAATGAATTAATCAACTATCAATAGATTAACTGATTGTGTTCACATTCATTTTGATGTAACTTCAAGTAAAAGGTTAAAGTTTTCAAGTAACTTTAGTATCACTACCATTTAGAGATTTTTTTTTTTTTTGGAAAAAAAATTCTTATGCTCACCAAAGCTGCATTATTTGATCAAAAATACAGTAAACACAGCAATATTGTACATTTATTATTACAATTAAAAATAACTCTTTTTAAATATTTAAAAATGTAATTTATTCCTGTGATGCAAAGCTGAATTTTCAGCATCATTACTCCAGTCTTCAGTGTCACATGATCCCTCAGAAATCATTCTAATATGCTGATTTGCTGCTCAAGAAACATTTCTTAATATCATACATTTTTTTGTAAAACCGTGATAATAATTTTTTTAATCAAGATTCTTTAATTAACAAAAAGTTCAAAAGAAGGTCAAGAGAACTTATTGACCCCAAACTTTTGAATGGTAGTGCGTTTCAATATACAGCATAGAAACTAAGAATAATTTGTACTCTATTCACAACTATATTTATTCATCTCTATAAAGCCCTGCCAAAAACACGTTTTTTTATGTTTTACAAACTGTGGTAATCAACAGTACATAACAGATGCTGGAGAAAATCTGCTCATTTTGATCCCGGAACATTCCTTAAACTGTCCATCTGCTTCTCAAAATTAAATTTTTGTGAAATTTGGTGATAAATGCATCAGTAGGTGGTGAATCACAAACATACACACACAGTGTATTGGCCTGAGTACTTACAGTACCACTCTGTATTGCAATACTTTGAACTCAAAACATCAATTAAGGTCAGGGTTATGTCTAAAGATATTTCTGGCTTCTTTCCCCAACTGTTTGCTGTGGCCATGAAGTGCTCATCATTTCATAGCAGAATTGTTTATTATAATTATTGATCCAGGATGCACTATTGCTTATTAAACTGCTGTTGATCAAATGGGTACAGTATATTCCTCTGTAACTTCACGCTTTTGATGTGTTAGGAAAGCAGAAAACCGTAGTATTAGACTCACTAAAACACTGATCCTTTAGCTATTTGTACTTCATTTCATGCTGAAATTGTGTTCTTGCCTTTGTGCTAAAACTATTTTTGTGTTAATGTTGGAAACAGGAGCATCATTTGCTCTTAGAAAAGGATAATTCTGTTACTTTCTCAGTTGATCTGCCCTTGTTTATTTGTTGGAATGATTTTTTTTTTTTTCAATTTTGTTAAGTTTGTCTGGTTGGAACTTCCTTGACCTGTAGTTACAAATCTGCTGATAATTTAAGTGACAATTAAAAATTACTACCATATGATTCACTGTTGTTTGCAATATCAAGCTTTACTGAAACCTGATTGGTATGTTTTCATGTTTGAATCAAATGACTTTCAGCATTCATCAGAATTGAAAAACATGTAGTTGCTATTCACTTCATAAAATACCATTGAGATCTTGTTAGACTCACTTACACGGAGCTTTTTTTTTTGCAGAGTTGCTTTTAACTCATTTAAGTTGCTGCCTTAAATTAAGTACAATCAACTTGGATGTTTAAATCATTTCAACTTAAATTAGTTGAATCATGTATAACTTATCAAAATACATTTTTGTAAGTTTTTTTTATGAGTTAAAGCAATGTAAAAACATATGTTGTCATAACTTATTGATCATATATTTTTTACAGCACATCCTGGTGGATAAACTGGTAGTACAATATCTGATGCATTCTTTCCTATAAAATTGCAAAAAGTGTTTTTTATATTTTTCATATTCATATATTATACATATTTTTCCTTTAGATTAGATATAGATTGTAGTTGCTGCGTTAAAGGAACTTTGCCAGTCGACAACAACTTAATCTGAAACTGACTTCTCTAAAAGATAAAAAATCTATGCCTTATATTTTCAGACATTATACCATTTATTTTAAATCCAGTCCAGTAAAGATGCCTCTGAAGTCACCTACTTCATTTTGCATTTACAGCCCAAATCCAATAGATGGCGAATCTTATAAGGATAATTCACCTAAAAATGACAATTCTGTCATCTTTTAAATAACTACGTCATTCCAAACCTGTATGAAATTTTGGTATCACTTTAGTTTAGGATCCAATTCTCAGTATTAACTAGTTGCTTATTAGCATGCATATTACTAGGATATTGGCTGTTTATTAGTACTTATGAAGCACAGAATAATACCTTAATCTGCATGACAAAATATTCTACATTTCTAATCATACCCAATACCTAAACTCCTAATTAGTAATGACTATTAATAGTTAGTGAGGCAAAAGTCATAGTTATTGGTTAGTTAAAAGTGAGAATTGGACCCTAATCTAAAGTGTGACCAATTATTTTTAGAAATCTCAATTGATGTTGGCTTATTATATTTACTTTTGTGTAGTTTTATAAATGTGCAGATACACTATTATGAACTGCAATATGTAGAATTTCACATTTTCATCCACTAATATCAACTTGTCATGCAACAACTGTATCAGACTGACAAACCAAAATAACTTGAGGCTTGTTGTTTTCTTTAATTATTCAGGTCTAAATAATCAGGCTTTCTCTGAAAAAAATCCACCCATCTGCACAGTCTGTCATTTAAAATACATGGATTATAAAAGCTTTGTTATTAAGTCATAGTGGCTTCACATCACTTCATTCAGACGCTCATTCTCACTGAACCCACGTTTCTCTGGTGCACATATGGTACCTCGGCTCCTCGTGGAGTGGAAACTGCAGTCCTGTTTACATTCTCGAACAAAAGGGCTCATCAATGTTTCAGCAGCACTGCATTGTTCAATTTGTCCACCTTGTGTAATGTGGCGAGTGAGTGCTAATATTGGCCTTCTCAAATGTGGACATATTTTTAGACTAATCTATATATTTATGCATGTAATATTGAGTCTTAACATGGCTGCCTAGCTGACTTTATATTATGTGATCTTTTTACCAATGTAGCCTACTGTGTTTTTGTAGTTTTACACTACAGTGTGTCAGTACCCTGCTGGATAGACTATGGCTAGTCACAAGCATATTTTGTTTTGTTTTTTGGATGCTATATGTTCAGCCACTTAGCTATGTGAACCAGCAAGTTTTCCTTGATTAACTAATGTCAAGAAAAAGATTGAGGTGGCTAACCAGCATCTTCAGCTAAGTTTTGCTAGTGAAGTGCCTAATTTTGCTAGTGCGTTAGCAAGACTAGCACAAAACCAGCATAAGCCTCTCTTTCCCTGCTGAAAATACCAGCTAGAATTAGGCTAATGTCTTTAACTACTAACATTAATCTTTTTTTTTCTCTTTTTTTTTTTCAACAAAAGTTATATTTTTGTCAAATGTAATGGCCCTTTCACACCAAAAGTGAAATGAATAAGCCTCAGGCTGAAAGAATGCAAATTTCCATGTGTACAGTAGAGGGCGCACCTCAAACAAACCTTCAAGCTGTGCTGCCATTCTGGACTGCAGAAGAAAAGGATGCAGGAGAATAAAGTTCAACACTCTTACTTCAGCAATAAAAAAAAAATTTAAACACAAATGTGATATCTAAAGTCATTTTTGCTTATTGGTATGGTTGAAGTGGAACCATAAATTGTCAGCAGCAAAGACATACAGTATATTTGTGTAATTTAATTTAAAATTGTGTAATTTTTTTTATTCATTTTGAGGAAATCTGAATCTGTTCCGTGCAAGTAAAATGAGCAAAATGCATGTTCACATTAGTCTATAAGTACAATAACCATCAACGCCTCT